GAGAATGGGTTTGATCCCCAACAGGCCACACAGCCTGGAGGAGACTCAAAGCCTGTCACAGAGCACGTCCAGGCAGGCGTGACTCCTTACGAAAGGACACCAGTGACCAGAGAAGGTCCAAGGACGGCCTGAGGGAATCAAACCTTTTTCAAAGCCCTTGGCGGTTCTGATCCTTAACCCTAACCCACACCCCGCAAATACATGGCCTTAACCTCTTCCCTTCCAGGGACTACGAAGGGTTGCAAGCGGGCCACTGGCTTGAGGCCCCTGCAGCGGCTCCTCAGCCTTCCTGCTGAACGCCAGCCAGGACCGTAACAGAGAAATTCACCAGGATTCTCTACTTGCTCGCCAGAACTCTGCCCGGGGCCTTTGCACACACACGGGAACACGTGTGAGGAAGTTCACGGGGTGTGTCTGGACCGAGCTTGCGACCTCAGGACCTCCACTTCTCTGCGAGGCAGAGGGGATGGAGATGCCGGGACTTAACACCAGACGCTAAGGAAGCAGCCCCACAAGGGGAAACTCACAACCGTGTTCTGGCCACGTGGATAAGACGCTCTACCCGCTGACCTTGCAGGTGGGCTGCGAGACCCTCCTGCCCGGTCGGCCCTCAGTGACACACACAGATCACGTTAAGGCACACGTGTAGCTGATACCTCTCCACTGGTCAGCCACGCCGATGTAGGACACGAGTCCACAGAGCATCAGAAACGTGAGCAAGAAAAGGATCACATTCCGCTGTAATCTCGACAGCTGCTTCCATTTCTAAGGGGGGGGGGGGTGGAGAATGAGGCTTCTGACTGAAAGCGACCCAACTGGGAACCTCTCCAGCCGCTGCCAGTTCAGAAAGGACAACCAGGAACTCCCCAGGCCCGGTTTCGGCACCGGGGGAGGCGCCCTCTCGCCAGGGACGGGCGAGCCGCCGCACGGGCAGCGCAGAGATGCCCGCAGCCGGCGCGCGCCGGCTCCGATCGCCGGCGGGACCTCGCACCTGCCCAGACGCCCGAGACCGCTGGGAACGCTGCAGAGCGGGCACAGGCTGGGCTCCTGCCTCGCCGCCCCGAGGGACAGCTCTCAGCGCGGGGAGCCGCGCGCCGCCCCCACCCCGCGGAGCTCGGGCCCCAAAGACCGCTGCAGGCCGGCTCCATCGCCCCCTGGGCCCGGGACCCCGGACCCCGCGACCCCGGGACCCCGGGCTGGACCCTCACCCTCCAGCACGAGCGCCGCCGCCAGCTTTTGCTGCCGTCGTAGCTCCGGCCGAGGCTCAGCGTCACCGAGATGAAGTCCCGATGCGGCGCCGGCGGCGGCGTCGGATACATGACAGCGGCGGAGGCGGCCCGGGCGGCCCCGCCCACTGGCGGCGTCAGGAGGCCGGGCTCTGAGAGGGGCCGGGGGCTTCGCTGGTCCGACACCCGCGGGCAGCCATCGCAGCGCCGTCAACACCCCGCCCATCGCGTGCGCGGCCAATGCGCCTGCGCCGCGCCTTCCTAACCCCCCCCACTGCGCCTGCGCCCGCCCTCGCGGTCCCTGCGCGCGTGTTTACGTCCCACTGCGCCGGCGCACGGCCGCACCGTGACCTCACGCCCTCAGCGCTTGCCCGCCCGCGCCTGCGCACAGCGTCCCGCCGGCGCGCAGCCTTGGCCTGGGCTCGGCGG